TTTCAACCACACAATCTTCATTAAAATAATATTTTTCATCACATCAATAATTTTTCCTTCTTTTTCAACCATACATTCTCCATCAATCTACTATTCCAAAATACATTCTTCCAAAATAATATCCATCAAACATACTCTTAACTTTTTCCGTTTGTACTTCATTCATCATCCTAAAAAATTCAATTACCTTTATTGCTGACGTGGATGATATTAGACGTGGCAATTAACATCCACTATACCCATGTCAAATCACCCAACTAATCCAAGTCAGCATAAATCTCCTATTTATTTTCCCTTTAATTTTCACTTTCATGCCCGAAATTTCTCAACAACAATGGCAATGGATAAACAACAGCACCACCATTACAAACACCAATACCCACCTTAGCAATTAAAATCACGCAACATTTTAAAACCCCAAAGTTGTAATTCTTGCAGAATTAAGAGCGTGCTTTTTCTCAAAACTGTGTTGAAAAATGGTAACGATTATAGAGTTATCAAGCCTCGAAGTCTTGAGCCGAACATAGAGGCAAATACGAGTAGTTCATCTTCATTGAATCGTAGGATCGATACTTTGGAATCCGTCATCAGGTCTGATACTAGAAAGTTCAATGGCATTAGGATACTTGAAGAGGAAGAATTTCGAATGTCATCTAGTATGAAGTTCAAAACTTCGAATATGCTAATGCAACTAATTTCTTGTGGTTCAATTTCAGTTAATGATTATGGCTTTGGCCTACTTTCGACCTACAAGCCAAAGTTTTTATATGGAGAAGATGAGGAGAAGGAAGTACTCTTTAACACAAAGTATTACCTCCACGTGAACAACTTCAACAATCAAGCTTTGATGTCCTTCGATTGTGGGGGCAAAATCGATTTGTGGGTTAGGGTTCATTTAAGGATCTGGGCATGATTTGAGGATGGTTTGGAGTGGAGAGAGCTCACGATTTCAATGGGCTAAAGCTAGTTTGGGAATTACACTTCAAATGAGTTGTATTTGATTTTTTGTTTTGGAAAGAGTTAACCGCCACGTATACATTTCGTCATCAATGTAGGCACGAGTTAAAAAGGGAAGTTAGCAGGTGTGTAATGGAGTGCAATTGTATAAAGTTTAATGAGTAATGAGATACAATTTAACATTCGATGAGTAAAATGTGACAATACCCAAAGTTTGGTGTATATTCAAATATTTAACTCTCCCTGTCACCCTGACCATCACTGGTTGCTCCGAGACCCGTCTATAAATTTAGTTTATGCCTTTTCTAAAGCTTGTATTGAAATCCATTAGGTGCAAAATCTGCCCACCTCGTTTGCAATAGTCATGTTGCAGCTCATGTTGTCCTAGTCGTGGATTCAACGTTGAATAGAAGAGGAAAAATAAATATCCAATTTTAGAGCTTATTTGATGGATTGTCTATGTGAAAAATAATTTTTTATGTAAATAGGTGATTAGAGAGTATGGAAAATTCACCCCAAAATTTTAGAAACTTTGTAGTGTTACCAAAAATTCAATTTTTTTTGTATCAAATGCGGAACGATAAATAATATTCTTTAATAAAAAATATAATTGGAATATCTATAAATTTAAACTAAACATGAAATTTGTATCGATAAGAAAATAACAGATCCACTAATTAAATAACGTACATTCGAACAATTAAAATTAATTAATAAATTAAAGGAAAAGAAAAAAACATTTTTATTTTTTCAATTCCTCGTGGCAGTCTACGTCTCCAGTACAATTCCAATCGACGCAAATTAACCTCTAAAATTTTGTAAAAGCGAGTGTTTAAAAAAATTTTCCTGGTACATCATAACGTTAGGCACACAATTCCAATAGCCCTTGTTTGATTCGTTTTTATCAAATTTTCCTGGTTCTGTACATTTAAGATTGTGCGCTTGCGCTTATTAGCTTTTAGGAGTTTTGATGGGTCCGTTTACATTAGCTGCTGATGAAAAGAGATCTTCTTCAGTCTCTTCAGGTAATTAAATTTCTTCAATTTGTTATATTAATGTATGCAATATCAAAAAATATATATCCCCCATTATTTTTTTATTTTTTTTGGGGATAAATTTCCTATCTGTTGAAATTGTTGTTACTTTGGTTTAGCTGAGAATGCTGAAATGAACCTTTATGATTTACCCAAAGAAGCTTGGGGCGCGCAGACATCGTCTTTATTAAAGATCAATTTTACANGTCTTTATTAAAGATCAATTTTACAAAAATTCAAGGTCATAATTTTAATACTAATTTGTTCGAGTACTTTCAATGGGTAAAGTCATGGAAGGTGTAAGAAATGATAGATGTTTTCATTTTTTAGCAATTGAAAGTTTAGTTGAAGAAAGTTTAGTGCATGACAGAGTTACTTCTTACTATTCTTAGAGATTTAATGTGGAAGAGAAAGATTTTTCTGCGTTCTTGTTTGAGCAGGTGATCTGGTTTTGCAGATACATCTAAGCAGAAAATGCAGAACCTACAATTGGCACCGAATAAGTTTTTTGCCCCAGTCATTTGTCCCGTACATTATTTGGTATATATGAATCCAATACTGAGTACTTGCTATTATTATTTCTGAAACTTTATGTGATACATAACGTCGTGAATGCAATAGAGCAAGCAAGATGTGTGTTGCAGCACCTCATAAATCTTCATAATTAAGCATAGTTCTATTCAACAATAGTTACTCAGACATTTTAGTCAAGCACCCCCCGCCCTCCCATAGTGGGTGAAACCCCTAACTTTGATTTGGCATTTCATACTCTGCAATGTGAAGAAGTAATCTGGCATTTGAATTTTTCAATCATTTAATTCTTAAGTAATATTGCAGAGGGCATAATAGCAGGCGGCACAGCTGCTGGTGTTGTTGAAATAGTCTTGTATCTGATTGATACAATAAAGACACGGCTGCAGGTAGGTCCGTTTCACTCATATGTTAACTAGACATTCAAAATGATAGAAAATTTCCAAACTGTTGAGTACTAGTCATAGCTGGATGAATATTAGCTTCGCTATGAATAAACACGACGTCAGCAATCTCCAGATGGCAACCAATAGTTATTTTCATAGACACTCACACCATCTCTAGGGATGACAAAAAAATCCTACAAACTTCCCCCAGGGCACATCTCCAGGTGGTAAAAGTGGAAAAACTCTAGCTTTGCTTGAGGCTGCCGCATCAAGAGTTCGAATCCTGAAATATGNCCATTGGGTAAGTGCAAGTGTTCAAGCAGCCTTCCGCCCTGTACCCTTGGAGACATAACCTGCAATTTACCTCATTCACCAAGGCCCAGGGCAGGGTAGGTGGGGGCCGCAGAGGATGCGGTTCATCCTTTTACCTATCAAAAAAAAAAAAAAAATCCGACAAACCCGATACCCGCTCGACCCCGCCCCGAACGGGGCAGGGATAACTCGTTTAATTGGGGCAGGGATGGGTAACGGGGTCCTCTCCCCGTTAAATTTTTATTTTTTTTTAGAATTCAATATTTTAAATGAAAATTGTCATTAGTTCTTATAGAAAATGACAACTAAAATTATTTGTCTAAATTTAATGAATATGGGCAATAAAAATAAATTATCAAAAACTAGAAAAATTAAAATTAAAATTAAACGGGTAGTAAATGGGGCAATGACCTGTTTACTATTTTCTCAGGCCCCGCCCCGCCCCGTTGAGAAATCACTGTTTATTTATAATGTTATGACCGGAGTTGCTTTTATTTCATATTTTATACGATATAAAAAGTTCAAATTTTGACAATAAATTCTTTCTTTGGTACATTGAAAATAGAGAGGGGTACTTATTTAATTGGCATCACTATTGAGCCTTGATTTTTCCTTTTGTTCTCCATTTTCTTTCCTTTAAGAGATATTATGTTAATTTGAAGATCATCATTGGTGGCATTTCCTTGCTTTTAGATTAAGATTGTGATCGTGTTTGTCCCGTACTTCATTTATAAGCTTGTCAGTCTTTTCTTCTTCTTTTACTTTCCCTATTGAACATTGCTTAAAAATAATAGCTTTTGGAGGACATTTATAACAGCAGATATTAAATGTCTGAAAGCTTGCATGATTAGGGAACGTGTTATGTATTAGTGTAAAACTGAATGTTATTTCTCGTTACAAAATGATTAAATGTTTAAAAATTGGTACAATTGCGCCCCCCCACCCCCACCAAACCCTCCCCCAAAAACAGAAATATTGATGATGGAAACATGATATATGTAGATTTCAATTATGTATATTGCTTTTGTCAGCATGCTTAGGACTATGACTTAATTCAATCAATTAGTTCTTTTACAGGCAGCTCAAGGTGGTGGAAAAATAGTTCTTAAAGGGGCTGTATTCTGTGCTCGCAGGAAATATTGCTGGAGTCTTACCATGAGTACATAATAAACTGGTTTTCTGGGAGAGCTATCATTTGCTCCATATTCAAATATTTATCCACCCTTTTTCAAACTTCACAAATTGCTGCCGAGGGCCTATGTACCCATCATATGGCTGTCATCAGAAACTGCATGTCATGACTCTGATTTTTCCCTTCTCAAACATGTATATCATGCATAAAACTTTTTTCTTCTTTGATTATCTGAAATTTAGTCTGGGGAGTAAATAAATACATAATTGTTTTCTTAAATTCAATATATAATGGCTAGTAGGTTGGTTAATAATTTCTCTAATAACAGAGCCTCTGCCTTTTTTGTTGGTGTTCATGAACCCACAAAGCAAAAATTGTTGAAGACTTTTCCTGATAATTTGAGTTGCTGTGGCTCATCTAGTGAGATTTTCTTCTCACTAACAAACTAATGTAATTAGTAAATCTTTTAACATTACATTTGATTGTTAATTAGTTCATCACACTGTTCAAATCCATTTCAGATCGATCCCATCTCCCTCCCCTCTTTCACTGAAAAACCTATGAAACACAGACAATTCTACTCCGGTGGCGTGGACACTTGAGGACTTGTGTCCAACAAGCCCCGTTCTATGTTGGATCTTTATATATATTCTTAATTTCCGATGCTCGAGGGATACTTTAGGGACAATTCTTGGGCAAATGTCTCAGATGCTAAGTGTTGTGTCTTATAATAAAAACATATAAAAATACAGATATGATAAAATTTAAAAAATTCAAATCCGACGTGTCTCAAACGTGTTCATGTCATGCTTTTTTGAATTTCGGCATGTCTGTATCCGTGCTTCTTAGTAGAAAACAAATGTAGGTAGAACAATGGACTTAAGGATAAAATTGATTCGTGAAAATTGTTGTCCTTGGGGTTTGGAAATTATCTATATTTTGCTTACTAAGCTAGGTATTGTGAACTACCCCTTCACTCCATCCTCCTGAAGAATATTAGTTTTGGGACTTAGGGATTTCTTTGATGGATCACATCTATGTTATCCAACAAAAAAATCTTGAAACAGCTGATAGGATGTTCAACTATCTCCTACGTATAACTAAAGACTAGAGTGGAAAGTGCATGTTGATTATCACTATCCTTTATGATTGGTTTGCCTCCAAGTAGGATGTAATATCTACGTGATAGGTTATAGACTCTTTGATATCTCATATATAATAATAGCTGGTTGTTGATTTGTAAGTCCATGTTAAGGATAAAACTTCTTGTATTATAGTTATATCGTTGTATTGGTATGATAAGTTAATTTCAATTGATAATATCTTGGAGGAATGTGGAGCTCTGTTGCGTGAGCAGAGACCATAGAATTCATTAAATAATATGCACAATTCTTGATGATACACTTCTCACAATATAGTGAAATAACCCGTGTAAACCTAGCTGTGATATTCTGCATTTACGGTCGTGATGTATCATAGTTTGTATTAGAAGGCATGCCAGATACATCCAATTGTATGGAGACCATCAGTATAAATTCTGAAG